CGCATGTTTGGAGTCGGGTTGGTGGCAGACTCTAGCTGTATCTCATAGGAGCTGCTATTGGGAATCGGTCATCCCAACCAAACCATGTGTCACTTGGAGGTTCACGGGTAGATATAAGTTGGGTAACTATACTTTTAACCCATATTAGGGGACTTATGACCCTACTTATAACTACCCATGAACCTCCAAGCCGAATCTTGTAAGTTCTGGGCCCGAGGTTTCGGCACTCACGGCTGGATTTCAGGCCCAGGGTTGAGGGTCATGGGTTTGGGGTCATATTTAGGGGCCTTAATGATTAGAATAGGGTTTTGGGGTCCAGTGTACTAAATTCACAACGAAGAACTCCCAATATGGTATTGGTATGTATTTGGGCCCCGATATTACGGACTGGGTCTGCTGTAGACAACATGCATCCCAACAGCAACAACTGTGGGCAAAGCCGTCCCGAAACCGCTGTGAGTAAAAAGACAAACGTCTTCCAGAAGCACCAGTGTCAGTGTCAGTTTCCATGTTCTTTGTTGGGGAAGCTAGCTCACATCCGGCAGTTCACAACGCATAGAGCTTGCCACAATTTTGTCCGTGATCAAAGAACCTGGGATCTTCATCCATCTACACTGGACCTCTGCCAGGACTCCAACACAAAGTTGCCCTGGCCTGGTAGAAGCTCTACCAGGAGCTTCAACCCCCCCACCCAATGCCAAATCGTAAATCCCTGGCTAGTCCCGGCCCACACAATCCTAAACCCTGAACCCTCGTAGAGGGCTGCTGGGCAGTTTCTAGGTTTCTCCGGCAAGGCACAACCAAGAAGGAGAACTGCCGGTCGGCACGGTTGCGCAACACCTCGGTGAACGCGGCTGTCGTTTTTTACAGTTCAGAGCAGAATTAAGCGGCACTAACTAAGCTATCCCGAAAGCCCTTTCTAAACCCTTCTCGCGCTGCTTTGCCGGAACCTGCGAGTTGAGATAGAGTGAGCAACAGTGTTGCATGGGACGCATCCCCTGACGTCAAGCCAGGCATGCTACGCACTAGATGCTAGGACGGCCTCGACACTACAGTGTCGGGGCCTTGAGAATTACCTATACTATTTTGGGTGCTCCTTCTGGCTATTAGAGTATAATAATATACCCCAAACCCCGATTCTGATTATTCAGGCCTCTATATTCGGTCATCTATCTGGCAAGGTAGGTTTCGAAAGGACAAAGCGATCACGAGTTTCTGCTGCAGGCGTTTCTGTCGGTCTTCGCATTACAGGTTTACCCAAAGGGTCCAAAGTACCTATACAGTAGAATGTAGGGATTCAAGTTTCTACATTAATTAGAAATTACGATTATGATTTGGGGAAGTATCCCCCGTAACAGTGCCTAGGACCCTTTGGGTTTCAAGGTGTAGGGACCAGAGATCTGCTTGGCAAGCTGCGCATCGAACGGAGTAGCCCGCGTTGAGCAGCTGTCCTCAAAGCAGGAAGGAAACAACACGGTTTAGGGTTTAGGGTTTCTGTCTGTTTGTCTGCCTGATTGTCTGTCTGTGTGTCAGGGGCAGGGGGGCATGAATTCGAGACAAAAGGAAGCACTGACTGAAGCTTCAAGCTTCGACGTGAAACTTGGGGAGGAATGATGAATGCGGTTGAGGGCTCCATGCAGGGTTCAGATTGGTTTGGCTTCTCCACAGGTCAGGTTGCTTCTGAGGGATCGTCTTACTGGTCTAGTTCTCTCCGGTAAGTTCGAGCGTTGTGCAGGAAATGCACTAAACTAGCATAGCCTACGAAGAATGCACCCCAAACCCTAAAGCTTAAATCCTAAACAGGAGCACCATATGGCAGCCGAACTGCGAACCACCTGTCGACCGATCGTTCCCGTGGAGCCCATGACGAGCACGGATGTCTTCTTCACCGGCACATCCTCCTGTTCACAGCTTTAGGGTTCGAAGTTTCGAGAATAAAAATGACGAAATACAAGAGAAACAAAAGACTCGCCTTGATGGATATACATATGTGCATGTGTATACAGAGCTTAGAGAGTTCATGGGGTTTCTAGCGGTCAGGGTTTGTCATCCTACATCCGAAATTCAGCAGATTACATCCTCGATCCTGCATCCCATGATTTTCGGACTTCAAGAACCCTAAACCCTAAGCCCTGCAGTTTTCAAGATTTAAATTTAGTTTGGCTCCTCTGAATGGAGAGCACTGAACTCCTAAAGCCTGCAGCTCTGCAAGTACAGGCTGCAAGTCACGGAGCTGAAAAATTCACAGAACCCCATCAATTTGAGAACAGTGTTGCGTGCTTCAAACTCCTCTCGGTTCAGGAGTGCTTGCAACAACCGTTCACAAAAGAATATGGCAAAATCAACAGCAGGACCTCGTCTTCCACAGCTGGCTCAGTCTCCATCTGGGCCTTGCTTCGGCACGCGGTGGGCTGCAGGACTGGGGTTGCGACGGTTGTTGTCACTGGCTAGAAAGATCATCTGTTTCTGTAGCTCACTCATGACTGTCGACATGTCTGTCTGTGTCTGTCCGTCTGCCTGCCTTTGCTGTCTATTGGTAAGTATGTATGTACGTATGTATGTATGTATAGGTATGTATGTATGCATGTATGTATGATTATGAATGTGTTTCCACACATGCATATTATCTGCATGCGTGTATCTACGCTATTGTCTATACAAAAATCAGGACAACTCTCTCTCTCTCTCTCTCTCTCTCTCTCTCTCTCCATATATATATATATATATGTCTAAATAATTATGTATGTACGCTCATCTGTACGGGCACATGTAGGTATAAACATACACATGCATATGTATGTGTATATATGTACCAAGTACAAGTTACATATATACATGTGAAGACATATATATATATATATATGTATGCACATGTAGGTATATGTAAGTATACACATGTGCATGTATGTAAATATGTTATAACATGTATATATATATATATATATGTCTCTGTGTGTATATATATATATATGCGTGTGTACATGCTTCACGAACAGACACGCATCGTCCAAAGCAGCCTGGAGAACCATGGTCATGAGTGGTGCTGCATTGTATTCTCGTGCTCGAGCTTGTTCTGGCTCTTGACATGTTTATGGCCGAAGGTTCACCATCGTTTGGATCTTAGCGTATCCGTGATTCAATACCCCGTAACTAATTCGTAATGGAGGGTCTGGGGCTCCCTCAAAGCAGAGCAATACGGTACAAGGTTGCGGCATACCTGAGTGGCAATGCCAAGGGAATCATGGATTGCGAAAATTAATTCGTTGATGGCAAGTCCGTATAGTGACAAGTCCGTGTGAACCCATACATTTGGAGTGATGCTCGTGAGGCAAAACAGACCTATGCAACCTACTGAAAGTAAACAACACCCCCTCCAACGTACACAGCGCGGAATTCTTCATCTCCGAGACTCCTTCAGAACATCTCTGTGTGCAAACGGGTGGCGGTGATTGTGGCCTGCCTTCTGGTCGGTGCCTGTTTGCAGCAGGAGAAAAGCAGGGCTTGTGTGTTCACTTCAACTACGAGAACCTGTCATTTACGATACTTCGGATATATTCGGACAGCAACAACATACCCCAGTAGCTGGATCTGTAGGGATGCTAGCGTAGGGGCCATGCTGTCGCCGCGAAATTGTTCAAGGGCACTCCCGGAAGCAATTTTCTTAGGGTAGAAGCAGTGCGCCTGAGTACTCCCTACCAAAGGACTTCGGGCTGTTTCGGGCACCAAAAACAATGAACAAGCACTGCTTGCACCCTTAAAGTTTGTCTCCGAAGCAAACCAACGAACACAACAATATCGGCTGTGAACCTCCAGCCGGAGCTCCGGAACCGGCACATGACAAGTTTGATGCGGAAACATTTGACAAGTCAGTGTGTAGATCCGGTTCTGTCTGGCCGGGCTTTCAAACACCGTTGCAAAACGCGACACACGAACATCAAGGACAACCAAAACTCCGAAGCGCCCGGCCTTCGCTCCGCGGCGGCCAAGGCTTCGGCTCCGGGCCAGGGAGGTTGCGGTGGCCAACCCTGAGGACAAAGGAACCATCAGAATAATAGTAGTACTAATAATAGTAGTATTAATGATAGTAGTCATAAATATAGTAGTCACAAATAATAGTAGTCATAAAAATAGTCGTAATAGTAGTGATAAGAATAGCAATAACAATAATAAAAGCAATAATGACACCGATTACCCCGAGGAGAAAGGAACCATCATAATAAGAATAGCAGAAATACTACTAATAATAACACACAACATGTTAAGGATAGACAAACCATCATAATGGTAGTGGTAATAATGATCGTAGTAAGAATAATCAGGCATAAGAATAATAGCAAGAAGACTAATAGTAATAATACCAATACTAAAATAGTCGATAGCCACAGTAATAATATAAAATAACATTAATAATCAAGGAACCATAATCGCAATAATGCGAAGAAGAATACTGAGAATAACAGTAGAGAAAATAACAATAATAATAGTAATGAGAATTTCAATAGTACCAATAACATTAATCCTTATAAGAAGACATATGTTTATGCTAATCAGTACGAACACGAAGACTGATACTGATACAAATACTAATGCTAACGCTAAAGGCGATTACAAATACAAGTACTAATAAACAAAAGTAACAAAGTCCGAAGAGTATTTAATGATTCTAAGAATATGCAAGACTAGTAGTCACAGTAAGAGCAAAAACCAGACTACGTAAACCAATTACAATGACAAAAACGGCAGTGAGGAAAGCATACTATTCTTGTGCTGCCTTTTGCGATTAAAAACACGATTTCAATAATTGCACTAGTCTTGCATAAAACATGACGAGGATGATCGCGCCATGATAGGATCACAGAAACCTCAAAAAATCCCTCCACCGAAAAACCCTTCAACAGCGACTGACACAAGTAACCACTAGAAACTCCTTAACCCTCAACCCCAAACCCTTAACCCCAAAACGCTAAAGGATCCGTCTTTCAGCGCTCTTCGTCCGGGGCGCCCAGGATTCCGCCGAAGGCCAAGGCCGAGAAGTCCGTCTTCACCTCAACCTGATTCGGAGAGTGCTATAGGGGCCCATTGTATGGTTTAGGGTTCAGCGTTTAGGGGTATAGGTATATATATATATATATGTATGAATACTACGGTTGATGATCTAAATCCTGCACTAGCTTAAGGACCCTAAACTATGCAAATTTTGGTATAGCCCTTGTTATGGATAATGCAGGATTTATATCGCTAACCGTATGGGGGCCCATTGCATATCCATATATGTATACACACAAAATAATGAGGACCCCCCAAAAGAGTATAGGTAGCCATTAATTAAGACCTCCTAAACCTAACATAATGTAGGGGCGTTAACAATTAGAGCAGAAGTCCTTCGAAGGGGTCCATAAGGGTTACTATACGGGATCTATAAGGTTACTATAATGTAGGGGCCTTAATAACTAGAATAGGGTTTGGGGGTATACTATACATTATAACTATAATAAGGAACTATAGAATACACCAAAACCGTTAAGCCATGAGCGGTCGCGCTAACCTTTTACTCAGAGGGCTTGGGCACAATAGTCAGCGGTATATAGTACACAACATGATGACTGTACACGACCATACAAACTCCTACGCAAGCTGCGATGCAAAACTACACCCCCCTCACCTAAAGGCACGGTCACTGCATTCAAAAACACAGCATACCTTCGCCTGCAGGTGGAAGAGCGCTTCGGCTCGGAGTTCGACGATCGGCGTGGAGTTGCCTCCCGCGTCATCAGTTGTATCAGCAAAAGTACATGTGACTATCGTGTGCCTCGAGGAAGGGTGCGAAAACTGCATACGAGCTTTTCTTCAAATGCAAGACGCTGGTTTCAGCGTGGAGCAAGGACGATAGGAGTTCGCCGCACAGCCACTTGAAAAATATCACAGGCCGGGTGAACATCCCTCTTGCTCGAAAGAATCAGACTACTGGGTCGGCTTATCAGTACCAACGCCATCCGCGATTGCGCCACTCACGCCAGTCCTGGTTGTCCCAGTTCTGGCCGCGCCATGATCCCCAGGATGACGAAGACCAATTCTGCCACCAGGATTGATCATCCCAGTCCCAGTCGCGGTCGGTGCGATCGGCGGCCTCGGCGTTAGCCGGGCGTTTGCCTTTTCCCTTCTCTGCTGCTCGGGCATACGTAGAGCCCTTGCCACCACCTGGCGGATGCTGCTGGGCATACTTCGGCTGGGCAGCACGACTTTGATTGGCCTTTTTGATGGTCTCATCAACCGTCTCCACCATGAAGGGTAGGTCCTTTGCCAAAACGGTCTGTAGGTCCGCACCCACTGCAGCGGGATCGTAGTTGAGAAGATCCACCTTACCGTGGCCAAAAGTCTGTAGACGGATGCCCCCCTTTTGCCTGGCGATGTTGTGAGCAAAATCTTGGAACGAAAGGATGGCTCCGTACCAAGTAAATGCTACTGGCGTATCCTCCGGCGTGGACGTTAGTCCCGCTGCGCACAACTTGCCGCCAATGCCATCGTCTCCGGTAAAGAAAACGATACGACACTCCGGAACCTCGTCCGTGCGGATCTGGTGCGTGGTACTTGCCGCTCTGGAGGATCCAATAGCCAGCATGCGTTGCGATCGAGTGCGGCCAGGGTTCGGAAGGTAGGCGAAGCAGAGGCAGTCGAGGGCACGAATCGTCCTGCGCGTGTATCCCTCTTTGGCCATTGAAATTGCGTATTCATTGTCATGATTGAACCTCGCTACGCAATCAGTGTAGCCCTTTTTCACGGCCCTCTGCTTTGCCACTTTGGCTTTCCGAATAACCTCGCCTTCTAAGGAGTTCATGCCACGGCCGGCGACATCTTTCGATGCGCTTTGAAGGCTTGGCCTCACTCCCACTCGTTCAGCGGCATCACCCATCTCCTGAAGCAGAGCTTCACGCCCACGTGCCAACAGCGTCCGTCTGCCCTGTGCCTTCAATTGACCTGGTCGAACTGGCCCTCCACATTGAGAGCAAATCCTTTGGCCTTGAAGACACTCAGCTTTGCAGTGGTAGCATTTGATCTTCTCCAAAAACGCGGCGGATGGCTTGGTCTCGCTACCAGCATAAAGTACTGGTTCTGGCCTTCCCACCGGCTCCTGGATTGCTTCAACTGGTGTACCCTCAGCATCCAGCGTCACCGTTGTCGCCATTCCGTCACCGATGTACACAGTCCTGATTGGAGGACCCGGCTGTGCAATGATGGTGCCTGGTTCAACAAGCGGCCTCTCCTCTACGGAGGGCATTTGCTCATCATCAGGAGCTTCATCGCCGTCAGCCTTTGCAGGGGCATCGGTGATAGCCAACGATCCCTCAAGCACATCAGCGACATCCGGAATGGGCGGTAGGGATGTTTCCTCAGCTGGAAGGGTACCATGTTCTTCATCAATAGGCGGTGCGAAATTGTCCTGAGTCGTCTCCTCGGGCTCGGGTTCATCAAGAACGATGTCGATGCCGGCCTCAGCGTTAGCTGGGCTTTCTCCCTGCTCTTCGTCAGGAGGTACAGTGCCCCCTGCACGGGACCAGAGTACGACATCGCGCTGAGTATCGTTGATGAATAGGATTGTTGATCCTGGCACTGCTTCGGAACACAATATGCCGTCCGATTCCGTGACGAATAGATCGCAAGCAGCTTCCAGGACCTCCCGAGTGTCAAAGACGATCTCGATCGGTGAGCTCGCACGGAGTCCTGAACGTGCCTTCTGCTCCTCGAGCGGCAGCGGCGCAAAGTAGCAATGCGCCTTCTCAGAACCCCCAAAACCCGGCAACAAACGATCTTCCAGAATCGCATACGCCGCATCATGTGTTGTGCGGTGATAGAGCCTGGGCGGTGCCTTGTCAATCGGGATCAACGGCCTGCCCTCTCGGGCGGCATTAGCCAGCTCATCAGAACGCTGCAGCGTAAGATATGCCTTTGCAATAGAGGCATTGTCGAGCTGCAGATTGCTGGAGTGGCCTTGCGTACACCCGACGTAGACCGGAAAAGCCGGTTGCCCAATTGCATCGGCAGCACTGTCCATTGGCCCGCGAAACATAAGGCGCTGTTTGTTGTCGGTAGCGATCATGTCGAGGAGGCTTCCCAGACCAATGTTGTTTCCAGGTCTGCATCGATTGGCAACCTCAAGCACTTCCATGGCCAATACCCATGGCCCGCTCCACGATCGCAGTTTAAATTGATTACCCTTGTTTTCGAAGTTTCCTCTGATGAGTCCAGTGACGAATGTAACCATTTTGTGATCACATCTCGGGTAGTGTAGGCCTGGCGTCATGTCCTTTTGGAACACTTCGATGTACTGGTCGGCCTCCTCTTGCGAGGGGCATTCGTTCCAGTAATCATACAGGGTAATGCCAGTCATCTCGGCGAAGTCATAGGTGTCGTTCATGAACCTCATTCCGCGCGAACCCTGCACTGCGAGCTTGGTCAATCGCTGCTTGTCGGCCTCAGCCTTTGCGAGGCGAGCTCTTTTTGCAGCGTGCTCGGTGCCAGAGTCGCCAGACAGAATGCCTCCACCGTAAATGGATGCGTCGATCGGCATCGGTCGAATATCGCCAGAAGACGAAGCTGCAGTACTCGCCGGGGTAACGGCCTCCACCTTAGGTGGGGCTTTGTTCCATTCCGGCGAATTGATCTCCTCTTCTGTTGCGAACACACCGGGTGCGACGCTGATGACGTTCTGAATCTTCATCTCCTTGAGGAAGTCGGGGACCTCAGGCGCAGGCAGTTCGGCGTGACTTTCGTCACGCTTCTCCTCCCAGTATGCGTCGTCCCACGGATCCTCCTCCGTTGGCTCCGCCTTGACTTGCTTGCTTCTCGTCATCCTCGCAAGAGCCGCTTGCAGGACATGGTTATCGACTGCGTAGCGACCACGGGAATCAAAATAATTGTCAGCAAGCAGTGATTGGAAGGCGGATTCGCCCATTTTCGCTATCGCTCTGGAGGCGTAGCGCTCGGCGATCTCGATCTGCATGATGTGGGCTAAACCCGAAACCATCTTGCGGCGGGATTCACTGTCCTCGCGGAAATGGACGTTGTCGTTGTAGAGCGCCAAATCTCCAAGGAAGGGGTGGATGTCACAGGCGGCGAGTCCTCTACGGACCGCTTCGTCTTTGAATCGCGCAATGCATTCATCGAACTGCTTTGGCAACCCGTAGACGAAGCTGCGAACTCCTGTGCATATCACAATGGACCCCACATATGGAGAACGGCGCTGCAGGTCTGCAAGCGCTTCAAGATTTTGGCAAACTCTCCGACAGATCTTTTGCCAATCTCCGCGGGCCTCTATGGGCGATTGATGGTCCCACCACGTCGGGACGCCGGGGCTGCAAAATATCCCGTATCTGCCGACGATCTCATTCGCCATCCAGACAATCTGCACGTCCACCAGCAACTCTTGGTCGCCAGAGTAGCGCAGAGCCGTCTGGTCACAGAGGATCTGAGCCCTCTCCCGAAGTTCGGACAATGTTTTGCCCCACAGGGGTTCGTAAATTATCTCCCTGTACTGCAGATAGACTCCCGAGCTCGCTGCCTTCAAATCCGAGGAAAGGTCTGTCCTCGTTCTCTTGCCAGCAACGAAAACAGTCGTAGAATCGGAGAGGAGGATGAGCACCCGCTTTCGGCCTCGATTTTCATCGGGCTTTAGCTGCGACATGCCAGACTGCGTCAATGCTGCCACTCGGTTGAGCCCTGGATATCGATCCGTTTCAAAGCAGTTGTGAGCAGCCACTTGCACCGGCATGTACTGAAAAAGTGCTCGTAACTCTCCTTCGTCAATCGACTCTTGGAAGCCTATCGACTCGTGACTGATGACGGCCGCCCAAAGCTGGCGGCCCCAAAAATCGGCCAACTGCTCTTCGTAGGTCGCCATCGCTCTTCTACTCTCAGCTGCTACCACGGGACTAGGACCCGGCCTCAGCGTTAGCTGGGCTTTAGTTGTACAGTAAAGCGATGACAAAGCTGCGCATGCCAGTCCTTCATGTACCTTAGGTCCATCATTATCCTTAGTGGTATGCAATTGCCAATCAGCATGCAATGCCGAAACCTTGGTTTTCGATGTCCTTAGTCGTCCACAGTCCTGGGTAGCTTCGAGCAGCAGCCGCTTCAATCGAAAAGACGATGCAAAGATCAGCGACCCACTCTTGTGTTTCTCAAGACCGAAATCGTGTGCCAACTTAACAACAGCAGGCATACACCACATCTCGTTGTTAGCTGAAGCTTCCAACAGCAGGTGGGGCCTAAGACGTTTGGTTAATCGGCACAACGACATCAACGATTTCAGACATTTATTCCATTCGTGGTCCGGCAGCGATGCAAAGTAGAGGATCGGTTTAGTGCTTCCCCCCTCGTCGCAGAGGGCACGAAGATTGTTAGCGATTTTTGACATTGCTTTCGGATTCATAGTTTCAAGGTTGTTCGGGACAGGGACAACACGACAGGAATTATTTCCTGACAAGGTGGTTTCATTAGCGTTCCCAAAGTCAAGCAAAACCCTGCAAAAGTCCATCGGCCTCGGCGCGAGCCGGGCGTCTGCAGGAGCGGCCGCCGCAGACCCGAGCCTAAAGCCGTGTTTGTTGAGGGTTTCAAGGTCAGTTGTGGAAAGCTTGGGAAAACCACGAGAGGTATACGCGGTGATCGAAAAACGTTTTCCGGTATAAGGCAACACGCAGTGTTTCTTGGCTGGGTCAAAGACAAGAGGTTTGCAATGGGTGTCATGCACATCCCCTTTGATGGAACGTCCTTGAGCGTCTTTCTGGAACTGCGCCTTAGTATCCGAAACAGTCTGATCTTCAACCCACAATCCACCTCCTTTGTGGTCACCAAAGCTAACCATCAGGTTCTTAGAACCCTTTAAGTTGTGGGAATCAGCATGAACTTTTGCCATGTTGTCCTTGCTAATCACCACTGAGGTCCATGTAAAACCTGAGTCAGGAGAATGAGCTTTCACGAACTCATTCAAGTACCTGGCAACTGCGGGATACCTAGTGGTGCTTCTGGTAACACCTTGCATTCCACCGTGTGTCCAAGTTCCGTACACTTGATAATAGCCTTGTTTCTTTGATGCAATGCGAGGTCGCTTGGATTTCTTAGCTGTATGATTTGATGCAATCTCTTCACACAACCTTTCCAAAGCATCACAGCCATACTCCTTCAGGCGGGAAAGTTCTGAAGCAACCATCTCAACCTCCTGAATGGCAGCAGCTGCTTTAGCACGTTTGCCTTGAACCTCGTGTGATGTAGGAGAGCGGCCTGGCTTTTCAGCCGGCTTCGCATTCTGCGCATCAGGTACATGGTTGATGAGCCTAAGCGCGTGTTCCCACTTACCACGTTCGGCAAACGGCTTTGTGAAGATGTCTGCGACCTGTTCTTTGGTATCAACATTAATCATGTTGAAATGGCCCTTTTCGAACTGTTGCTTCATCCACGCAAACGAAAGTCGTTGCGTCCTATCGGTGTGACGAAGCTTTTCACTGTCACCCTTCGCAATGATGGTGATTGTAGCTTGATTATCTTCTAAGAACTGAACCTGAAACTTTTCAGAAAGGTGAACATCCAAGCCATTAATATCCGCGACAGAGCGTCCTTCATGACTGAGTTCACCATACCTGATTTCATCAAGCTCCGGGTCAATCCTTGCAACGATTGTTTCCGTGACTTTAGGTGATTCCGCCGGCGGCCTGGTCTTTCGACCGGCTGCATTAGCGGTAACCTCTCCCCAAAGGTAACACCACAAGCTTAAGCTAGGCAGGCCTTGTGCTCTGATGCCGTGATTTGCTGAAACTACTTCACTTTCGGTGCTAGACGTCGTGATGCTGGTCTGTTTCTTTGAAAAAGCATTCAACGGGTAGTAAGTGTTGGGCCCAACCAAGAACAGTGCGCATCCTGATGTGGACTTGGAATCAAATTCTCCTGCCCAATCGGCGTCACAGAAGAGCCACAACTTACAGTCCGAAATCTTATCGCCAATAAAACCCTGCATCGTGATGTCCAAGCTCGAATTAATGTAGCAGATCAGCCGATGTAAACCGACATCGCAGTCCCTTGACCACTTCGTGACCCTAGAAGCCAGCGACTGGGTACACCGAAGCAAGTCCCACCTTGCCATTCTTGCTGCAAACAACACCTTCATGAGGACCCGACTGGCAATCGGTTGCAACCTCCCCTGGGGTTCGTTGCCTTCCACAGGTTTGGCTACTCTGTTCTCATGAAACGGCGTAGCTGCAAACTTCAGGGAATCACGTGAAACTTTAGCTAATTCACAATACTTGTCGACACAGGAGACCAGGAAGTCCTTCATGTCATACGTCACAACGTTGACAGGCTTAGTCATAGCGGGGACGGGTTCCTTGATGATCGTATCAGTGCTCTTAAATCTAGACTGCTTAGCTTCGCGCTTAGCGTCTGATTTGCTTCTCATCGGCCTGCCCTTTCGGGCGGCAGCAGCGAGCTTAAAGTCGTCTGCCGTCGTTGGCATGATAGAGAAGATTGTTTTGCCCGTCCACCACTCGTTTCGCCTAGCAGGGCCCCCCTGATTGGAATCATCCTGTATCTGATCTCCATTCTCAAACTCTGTTATGCGTTCAGTTCCCAGAGTGGGAAACTGTCTCATGTCGTCTTCACTTGGTACGTACAAACGCTTTCTGGGGTACCTGTGATGTCTGATTGCAAGCGCAGCATCCGGATCAACCTCCCAATAATCTTCTGTTCTACTCGGCCTGGAGTTTCCTCCGGCTGCTGGTGCTGCAATTTTCTTGTCGAAGACATAAGCAAAAGGATGTGCGCTACGGTCAAGCATAACACCGTTCTGCTCTCGATGATTGCAACCAAAGTATCTCCCAAATGGTTCCGAAGGATCCATATCCAAAACCTTCCCAATCCCCTCCCATCCCTTAGCAAGATTGTCCTTTGGTCCTGCCATTTTGAAATCGTCGACGTAGACGACGAGGAGGAGATCTAATTCAGGATGGTAAAAGATACTTTGCCATATATCTGGAAGAACCGGGATCCACCCTATGCTCTTCAACTGGGCAGTGCAGTGTCGTTCCCAGATGCCGCCGCTGTCAGGATGTCCATACAAAGCAAGTCTGAGAGGACAAACTGGGTCGCGAAAGTTGCGCCACTCGGGCGGTCGACGATTCTTGGGAAGTCGAACCCAAGTCGCAATCCCTTTGAACAAAGCTTGAGTATACGCTTGTCGAGCATCAGCTTGCTGTTTTGCATAGCCTGGTTGGCTTCCGAACACATCGATGATTTTACCCGCTTCCATACTTGCAGGGCTAGAACCCAGTTCGGCGAAGATCGCGTGATCCGCATTTTCATCTCGAACCTGGTTCCCCTGGAACACAGAGCGTCCCTTGTAGTACTTAAGCGGATTACCATCCTGCAACTCGGAACCCTTAAGGCTGCAAATTTCGAACACGTTCCCGAAGTGAGCCTTTTCGCCTTTTGCCTTGGTTTCAGACAAGACGTCATCGTACTCACGAACCTGTTTCTCAAGCCAACACCCTTTATCAAGAAGTTTCTTCCATTCTTTGTCCATAGCAGCCTGAGCCTCAGGGTTTCTGGCAACATCATTCTGATTGATAAGCTTGGCAACTGCAGCGAAAAGATCCTCGCAAGTTTCCTCTAGCTTATCCAGAAATAAACCGTGCAACCTCTTCCCATCCTCAGGCGTCCTCGGTCGATGAGGTTCTCGATGTCCAAGGAGAACAGGCATAGCGGGAGCTTCTTTCTCTCGTTCTTCTTTTAATCTAGCTTCCTCCCGCGCAACCTTCTTCTCCCATCGTTCGATTTCCTCTTTTCGTTGTTGTGCGGAATACATGTGCCAGAATTCAGACGGAACATCGGGAGGTCTCTTGGAGCCTTTCTTGTTCCTCACAAGTCTAACCCCATCCCAATTGTAACCAGCAGGGACCGGTCTACCATCAGGATATTTCGTGGGATCAAACAAATCACCTTTGGAACTAGATGATGGCTCACTGGGCTTAGGCGCGGCCTCACCTTTCGGTGGGCTTTGATCGTCATCGGGTTCAGGTTCGGATAAGCCGATTTCATCAAGAAGTTCGCCTGCCTCACGAAGTCCCCGTTCCTTTTCTTCATCTGAAGCATGAATGTTCTGATCATCCAACTGTGGAACCTCGTGTGCCTCGCGATCCTTGATCCTTCCCGATTGAAGTGGGAACTCAAAACTTCCCTCAATCAACTCAACACGCTTAGCCCTGATGACCTTGAGGTTTCCGTCCTCAATGGCAAACTGTGCGTCTTTCACGGGTGCAATCAAATACTCCTTCTTCCAAACAAACCCTGGTTGGATATGGTATCCCAGGAAGATCCCTTCAACCCCAGTTGACGAAAACTTGGAAGTCTCCGGAACGTTCTGTTTAGGGTTATGCCAATACAAGACCTTAGCTCCGAAAGGAACAATCAATCCCGCAAAGGACTCCCCAAAGCGTGCCTCCCATGGGATTTCACCAGTATCCACTCGCTTTGTGAGATTGAGCGCAATGGAGTGGTGCTGAGCTGCTAAAGGCCAAAACCGTTCTGGAAGACCGGCTTGCTCCAAGTTCGAGCGCGTACCCTCTAGTACGGTGCGGATTTCCCGTTCGATGACGGCCTTAGTTTCATCCACGTACTCTCTAGAGGTGTTGTGCCTACATCGGAGTTCCTTCACAGCTGCTCCCAACTCCGGCGCGTTGTCAGAGTAAATAACCCCAACTTCGTCTTGCGTACCGAAAAAGTGCAGAAGGTCCTCATGCACTTGTTCCGATGATTTTGTTGTGCTTGGATACACATACCTGAATTGCGAAAACACATCTTTGATAACAAGCGCCACCCTCTCATCCTGAAATCCAAAGTCCCTCAAATCTCTTGTCACGAGATGATCAATGGTAACATGATCCCCATACTTTTCACTGTGTATGGTCGAAGATCCCCCCTTTCTTCGAGCTTGGGGAGATAGCATCTTCGCCTTTTGGCACACTTTGCAGAATGGGTTCTTAGGACGATGGCAGAATTGATGATGGATGCTTTCGGCCTCGGCGCGAAGCCGGGCTTCTTGCGAAATTTCCCTTCCCTCATCGTCTTCCTTGTCACTATCGGGCTCGATTAAGGGGTCGTCTTCGGGTCTTTTGAAAGCAGTAATTGACAGAATTGGCGATCCATCAATCTTTTGATTTTTAACCCTTAGACTTCTGATGTCAACAGAATCCTCAATCTTGCTCCAAGCAGAGTCCTTGTAGATCCAAGTGGTCCTTAGCACGAACCTTGGATGACGAGGTGCAGGTACTCGCAAAGCCTTTGGCCGATGACCAATAATGATCTTTGATGCGGCAATTTCACTGCTAGTGATCCAACCTGGCTTGGCTAAATCTTTAGGCTTGATTGCAATTGGTGGTGCGGCATTGATTGCTTCTTCTATTTCGGAGTCGCTATGAACGACTCTTTCATCCCCGGCCGGTCCTCTCGGACGGCTTTCTACTGGAAACCCGAAGACTCGTCCTCCGCAGGTGCCGCCAGTTCAACCTTGACTGTACCGGCGTTAAACACCTGAGTTCCAGCAGATTTCTGGGAATCATCAGCACTTGCTGGGCTCGCTACCGAGTCATCATTCGAGATCACTGGGACTCTACCCTTCATCTTACACTTGATGACCTTACCGTCGGGAGCTATGAAGTATGGAACCTTGCCCGCAGGCCAATGGAAATCATATCCATCGTCCATGCATCTTCTCCCAACAGAACAAACCGGTGGCGTGCTTTCCAGTAGATAGCACTCAATGTTTTGCTTCAGTTCAGGCATCGGGATGTTGGTTGACTTGATTCCCTGAACTGGACCATTAGCTGTAATCAAGTTGACCGGCCTACTAGCGTTTTCGATGGGAGCCTCTGGATAGTAGATAGAGTGATCGTGCCTACTGATCAGATCTTCTTCACTGCCAGTATCAGCGAGGAATTCTAATCCCGCATTAAAGCTAGAGCATGCTGTTCTTTCAACGCTAGAACACAGCTCGCACTTCAACACTGCAACTGGGATCTCACCCTCTTCGCAGTCATCTGTGCACTCGTACTCACAGTGGCTTTCAATCCCATTGAGCATACAGGACATGATCCTGGCAAGTTCGTTCGCTGTTCTTATGGCCGTGCTTAGGTCCTGAACTGGAGGCTTTGGGCAACTTTCAGCATCCAAGTAACAAACTTCGAAAGTTCGCGGCTTGGTCCTATGCTTCTTACCCTTACCATCCAATGGAATCTCCCGAATGCTTGGCTTCTCCTTGAACCTTAGTTTCTTGAACGTTCCTGAAGCATCACCCTTAACGCCTTGCCCATTGGGCACAGCTGCCAGCGCATACGAAATGCAACAAGCTGCCGTGCGTCCGCCAGACTTTTCCTTGCTCTTGGACCTGCCCCTGTGTTTCTTTTCCTTCTTTGCTTTAGGATCCGGGGTCGGGCTCCTAGGCTTTTCATCGTTCTTCGCAGGGGCGGCCTGCTCGGTAGGAGCGGCGTCAGTTGGATTGGGCTTATCTTGATGCAGGAACCTACAGTCTTTGCCTTTGTTGCACTTACCTTTCTTCCAAAAGGTGCAAATCGCGTTGATCTTCTTCTGAGGCGTTCGATGAGGACTTGGGGATCTTGACTTTGGTTTGTGGAGAAACTTACACTTGTCGCCTCTTGTGCATTTCCCTTTCTGGAAGTCGTAACAAACCTGTTGTGTTTTGGGACTCTGAGATCTAGGCGGTGTTCGTTGGCTCGATCCTTTGCTGCTTGTTCTGGATTTTGAGCTACTTCGGGACATGCTTCTTCCACGGCCTCCTCGCGAAGAGGGGCGACGTTCAGATCCGTACGCTGGGGCCCCGTATCTATCGCCATGCGACTTAGCGATGCGATCACGATTCTTGCGCATACGCTCTCTAGTCAGATGCTCCCTAATGGCATTGACGAGGAATTCATACGTGTGTACAGGGTTTCCTTCTTTTGCCCTGTCGTACAGCTGAAGATCGTACTTGATGTGGTGGGATTTCCGAATTTCCCTCAGCAAAATGTCCCTCAAAGTAACCTCATCCGGAACATGACTCATTCCAGCAATCACCGACTCGAAGTTGTAAAGGAAGGTAGCCAAGTCGTCCCCAACCAACTTCACTTTTAAAAGGTCCTCTACGCTATAGAGGCTTCCGACTTCTTCATTAGTCTTAAAGTGTTGGTGAAACATCCACAATACTTGTCTTCCCCTGACGGCACGTCCTCCTGTGGCCTCTGTTTCCTTGAAGTTTAGGACTTGCCTTGAAATCTCTCCTCTAGCGACTCTGGTAAGTGCAGCCAACAACTTCGTGTCCAATGTTAAGAATTTCCCAGTGTCATGTAAGGACTTGAGGGTAGCCTCTTTATCATATACTTCCTGCACCCAGCGAAATGCCTCATCCGGGCGATCGCTCGCAGCCCGCACAATCTCGCGGACCGAGATCCGCCACGATCGGTAGGTCTCTGGATTAGGGTAATCGGGAAGCTTGATGCTTTCGGCTTCTTTCACCTTTGGTTTGCCCTCTTCATCTTCGGTCTTAGGGGTAAGCAAGCGTGCTGCCCTAATCAATGCCTCAGCTCCGAAATCAACATGTGGAACCCCGTCTGGATCAACAGTCGCCGGCTTACCAGTTTGGGCAGCTTTAGGAGACTTTTCCTTTTGTGGCTCTCTGTTCTCAAACCCAGGTGGTACAGAAGTTCCTTGCGGAGGTTCCTGAGCTTGCGGCGTTCTTCCGAAGATGTCCTTCATGTTCTCGGGAATCTCAAATGGATTGGAGAACGGGATAGTAGGATTAGGTCCTGGCTTCGGCGTGGCATGTTGTTTGCCCGCTTCGTCCGCATTGGCTTCCATTCTTAAGGCTCGTTCTGCGGCAGCCAGTTCATCCTGCAGTCTGTCGTTTTGTGCACTCATTTCGGCGATTTCAGTAATGAAACGCCGTTCCATACTCGCTTCGGTTTCTTCAAGGACTTGTTTGAATCGGATTCCAAGAAAGTCAAGGTGTTGTGCTTTGTTGCGTTCGCTTTCAGCAATCAGAGTGGTTCTGAGCTTAGCGATTTCCGACTGATGTCGTTGTTGGAAAATTGATTCCAGAATGTTCATTTCATTCCTGCATGTTGCAACTTCGTTCAACAAAAACTTTTCCCTTTGGGATGCGTTGAACTCAAATTCCGCAAACTGTGCTTCGCATTCTGCCATCTTCACCTCATGAAGGCGCTCGGCCTGTTCAGCCATGCCAGCCATTCTCACAAGATTATCATGCGATTGTTGGTTCAGAATGCTTGCGTGTCTTCTTTCAGCATCTGCCTCCGTTCGCTCTATTGCCATTCTTTGTTGTTCGGCTGTTTCACCCTGGTTCACAACATTGTACAAGGTATACTGCACGTTTGAGATGTCGACCGTTGGATTTGAGACAAATGGAGATAGGGTAGGACCCACTGGACCGAAGATCCTATCAAGTGCTTGGGATCCTGAGCTCGATGCCATAGGGCCCGCGCCAGCTGCTGTGAGTTGTTCATCAAGCAGTCGATCTCTTGTTTCGTCGTCCATCTCGTCCGATGATACTTCAGTTGTTTCTCCCTTCTCAGTAGTGAGCAGAGAGGGCGAAGTACTCATGTACCAGTGTGAATACCAGTGTAAGAATACCACGGAGACAAAGTCAGCGAATACGGCTGATAACCTATAGAATACACCAAAACCGTTAAGCCATGAGCGGTCGCGCTAACCTTTTACTCAGAGGGCTTGGGCACAATAGTCAGCGGTATATAGTACACAACATGATGACTGTACACGACCATACAAACTCCTACGCAAGCTGCGATGCAAAACTACAGGAACCCCCCAAAATTGTGTAGGTAATCGTTGAGGTTTTGCAGCTTTTTCTGTTTAGGGCGCATTTAGGTTTTCAGGGCTCCGGGGTTTAACGGTCTAGGGGGCCCAGGGGAGTACCGGGCCATAATAATTTGAGAAAAGGTGTCGGTGCTTTTAGGGTTTAGGATTTGGTCTACCTGAGTAATTAGGGCTTCGAGGTTTCGGGCTTAGGTTGAGTATCACGGGGGCCTTGATAGTTGTAATTTGTTTTCGGGGTACAGTACAGCAAAACACAAGTATGCTATGGTAATATTGGTAAATATTCAACAGTTTTTTTGAGGGGGGGGTAAACGGCCGAGATTGGGGAAGTAATATCTAGCATGTTTCTCGTTTTTGGTTGTGTTGTCTTTTTGGGGGCTTTGGGGCCAGGAGTTACAGGTGTTAGGGGTTTGTAAATTCGTTTCAGGGGCACGGTCTAGGGTTTAGCTTCGGCTTCTTTTTGGTATGTTTGTGTTTTGTTTTGGTGTTTACTACACGACCTTTATAAACATGATAAAAAAAACTCTTGGGCTTGATATGAGCAAAACAAGATAATAAATCCTCAGGAGACTAGAGTTTAGGGTTTCAAGTTTAAGGCTTGCCTTTCGCTGGAAGCCCGAGAGCCTAAACCCTCTAGACCCCTAAACCCTAAGCCCCGAAACATCCCTCTTTGCCCTAAGACCTAAACCCCCGAGACCCCAAACGCCTAAACCTGAAACCGTCGAGACTCTTTAAAGATGAAGAAATACCTTGTCGGGGCTTTTTAGGGCTACTCCTCTTGAGGGCTTCAAGGTCCTTGATATGAAGGTCTGGGGTCTAGGGTTTACGGGCCTTAGGGTCCAAGATCTGAGAGTTTGAGAAATTATTAGGGACCCTAATATAGGACCCTAAATAGCAGGACCCTTATTATAAGGGGCCCAAGATAAGGTACCCCCTATTTTCGGAAACTCCCATCTGCGATTAGGAATTAGGGAGGGTTTAGGGGCCCAGGCTCGAAGGCATGAACCTGGGATTGAAGTATAGTAAAGGGAACTCCAGAAAGTTGGAATATGGTTTCAGGGTAGGATACCCTATAATTTACCATAAAGGGTTTAGGAAAATCATATTCCAACTTTCTGACTTTTACTGTAGTATGGTGCAGGGCTCCATGGCTTTGCATGCTTGGAGTTTAAGACTTAGGGTTCAAGTTTTGGCAGGGTGTACTTGGAGGTTCATGGGTAGTTATAAGTAGGGTTAGAAGTCCACTAATATGGGTTATAAGTATAGTTACCCTACTTATAACCCTACTTATAGCTACCCATGAACCTCCAAGTAATGGCCAGCAGGTCTAGGGTTGACAAGGTCACAGCTCTGTGGCTCCGCGGTGGTGAATGAAGCCCTGAGCCCTGAGCCCAAACTTCACCCTAGCCGCTCTGCCCAAACCACACTCCCCGAACCCCCTCCACCTATACCCGAAACCCCGAACCCCAAACCATAAAACAACAATGCGAGGGGCATTTGTTGCAGGTGCTCCCCTGAGTGCGCGGTCATCGGAGGTCGCAAGGCGGGCCTTTCCAAGGCTGGAAGTTGCTGAGGTTAGTTTCTTTTTTTTGAACGCCTTTTTCCATCCGCCGAGACAGAATCTCAAGGTTGAGAGGGGCTGAGGTTAGTTTAGGGTTTAGGGTTTCGGGTTTAGGATTCTGAAGTTGAGAGATTGTGTGGGTTTGGGCTTAGGGCCTTAAGGTTTCGGGCTATAGAGCCTATAGGATGCCCAGTAACCTAGGAATAAACACTTAAAGTGGAACCTAGGACTACAAGAAGGGAATAAAGGTATTACTGGGCATCCTAGGAGCTTAGAGTGCGTAGAGTTTAAGCTCATAGAAAGGCGACTAGATTTGACTCGATGCCTAAGACAGTCGCCTTTGTGAGGCTCTTGGGATGACACTCCGAAACCTCAGTCGACTGTCTGCCTTAAGGACGAAATGAACCCTAAAAGGGTTTAAGGTTCATATACCATTATAGGGATTCATACTGTTGATGATATAAATCCTGCATTACCTTAAGGACCCTAAACTATGGGAATTATGGCATTTTTCTTATTATGGGTAATGCAGGATTTATATCATCAACCGTAATATATGGGTAGAAGGCCCCTTCTTTTAAGGGTCATTTGGTCCTTCCGGTGGTTCTTAGTGGGGAACGGGGGAATGGATCCCTATAGTAGTCCATGAATGACCCCGAATAATCGTCTCCATAATCCATTCCCGCATACCCGAACTAAGAACAGTGTTCACATCGACAGGAGGCCAAACGTGCCGATCAACTCTGGGACCTTTATGCATGAAACCGCGAAGCCTTCATTCTAGTCCCAAGCGGCCCTACATATAGGCCCTCAAACCTTTCACCACCCTAAGGCCTTTTTCAGCATGGAAGGGGATTGTGTGCCAGCATAAAGCCTAAACCCTGAACCTTAAGCCCTTAGACCCTTAAGAACGCTGAAATCTTAAACACGCGGATGTTTCATCGGCGCTCCCGCCGCATGTTGAAAGCCCGAACCTGGGATCTAAGTAGTTCTGGTGTATGCGCAAAACATCTCAGAAGGTAGTGGGCTGCAGTAACTACATAGCCCAGGATGAACCACTACGTGCAGCAATCAACTGTGTAACGATTTATGTGCATGTGTATAGATCTGTAAACATGTACATATTTATATACACATACATATCTCTGTGTGAATGCAATTGTACGTGTACAAACAAAAAACTGTATCTACCTATGTATGTACATATAGAATTATATATATATATATATAAACACATAAACCGGCCTGTCCAAAATTGTGTATATACACATACCTATACACATGGACGGAATGCCCGTCCCATCGGTTCCCTTCCGTGTGCAATCGCCTTGCCCGCTGCAGTCGCCGGGGCGAGGCCTGTGGTGAAGGCGGTGGAGTAGCTGCAGGCCACCTTGGAGTAGGGTTACTCAGTTTTGTTTTTTCGGAGTGGGTGGGGGTTAGAATTTAAAAACGGCTAATTAGGCTTATTCATTTTTTTTTTGGAGCGGGTGTGGCTTAGCGTTTAAGAAGAGTCAATTAGGCTTGGGTCATTGGAGTCAGGGGGCGTAGTTGATGGTTCATAAGTTAAACAGATGTAACAACCCCAAACCCTAAGCCCTAAACACTAGCACCCACACCGAAAACTGCTGCAGAATGATCCAAACATAGTCGGCAAAAGAAGCTTCCGGGCTTCGCCCAACTGCAGCTTCTTTCGGTAAACCCTTAGCGAGGTATCCATCAGCCCTTCATACGTTACCCCTACCCATAGGCTCCATAGTATATGGTTCCTTTTGGGGAGTACCTTGTAGGATCCTAAATATGAACCACAAAAAGGAACTACTGCCTCTAGGTGTATCCCATGTTTAACCCGTAAACGCCGTAAACCCGTCAGCACATCCTCGAACCAAGGCTGCCGCGACGTATCCGCCGGCAAAGGCCGCGGCGAACGATGCCAAGCAAGAGGTGGCCTATCAGTCTTCAAGGCTTTTTCGGTTGAAGCCCCTCTTCCCTCTGCATGTAATTATACAAGGACGCCCTCCATCTATCTATCTACAAACAACATGCATGGACTCTTCTTTGCCTTACCCCACCTACCTCCGTCCCACCTGGGAGCCCTATGGGAGTTTCCGAAAATAGGGGACCCTGATATAGTTCCCCAAATATTAGGATCCTTAGTATAAGGGCCCCCAAAACAAGGTACCCCTAATTTTCGGAAACTCCCCTATGAATTTGCGACGACTTGTGGCTTTCTGGCGTCACTCGCGGACAAGCCAGACGAGGTCTCTCAGTCTAGGTTTGAAGGGCCTGAGGGACCAAATGACCCTTAAAAGTAGGGGCCCTCTACCCTTATACTAGGAACCCCTATATGGTATATGAACCTTAAACCCTTTTAGGGTTCATTTCGTGCTTAAGGGGTGCCTTGCTTTCAGGCATCTCCAAACCACCCTTTAGAACCCCCTTATAGAACCACGTATACAGCCCTCCCCGTACCCGGTAAACCCTAACCCTAAAAACCCTAAGCCTAAACCCTACACCCCAAACCCTACACCATCCCAAATCCTAACCCCTAAACCCAAAACAGCCTAAACCCAAAACCCTAAACCATCCTAAATCCTAACCTCTAAACCTGAACCCCTACACCCCTGTAACCCGCAAACCCGAACCCCTAAACCCAGAGACTCCAAAATTAAGAATATACCTTAAATCACATTAAGGAGGATCCTACTATAATTTAAGGTATATTCCTCAATTAAGGGGTATTCGAGTCTCTGGGTCCCTCATGGGTAGTTATAAGTAGGGTTATAAGTAGGGTAACTATACTTATAACCCATAGGGGACTTATAATCCTACTTATAACTACCCTTTTTTACATCAGACTTGCATGTCGCGCCTGGTTATGCCGCAAGCAGACCCTGAAAGACCGAAACTGCTGTCGGCCCATCAAAGCCCTTCAGAGCAGAGCGAGCAAACCCTAATCCCTAAACCCTAAGTCCCTATAGATCCCTTTAAAGGGACCCTTAAAGGAACCCTTATAACCCTACTTATAACTACCCATGAACCCTCCAAGTAAACCCCTCGACCGAGGACCAGGCTCCACTGCGCGCCATCTCGGAGGAGTTGCTGGGAGCTCCCGACGAGTTCTACAGGACGCAGCTGCAGGGCGTCTTTGAGAGCTGAAGGCCACCCGGAAAAGGCACGGTTTAGGGTTGCATTACGGGTTTAGGGT